TAATATTGTCTGATGACAGAGATAGTGATACAGAACTCAATAAGAAGCTTCTGCTACTTTGGTCAATGGTTTGTGCCAGTCTATACTTGATGTGGTAGCTGAAAGTGACTGGGACCGGCATGCTTCAATAAACACTGAAGTGTGACCTCCCCCATGCTGCTCCTTCTCCTCCTCACTCTCTTCCTCAGCTTCTCCTCCTGCTTCTCTTCCTTCTTCTTCCATAGAGCCTGAAAAAATGACTTCAAGCATTTGCCCTGAGTCTGGCAGAAATCTTTACATATTCATTCTCTGAGATGATAAAAATAATTTATAATAGTTTTCCAAATCCCTTCAGTATCAATCTTTGCACAATGAAATATTTAAGAGAAAATTTGACCAGCACATTATATGGAAGGATATATGGCATTGTCAAGTCCAAGATAGTAAATGTGTGTGTTTATGCAGACATGTAAATTTTACATCTATATGAAATAATTGATAAACTCAGAATAATATAAACTAGGTAGGAAACACTTCCGTGTAACTTTTTACAAAATATATGATTTTGTGAATCAGCTTCTCTGTCTCTTTTTCTTTTTCAAAAATCTCATAAACTATGCTAACATATGTTTTATGTATATTCATGTACATACATATGCATATATGTGATAAAATGTGGTAAAATTAACCTGTGGTGAATGAAATGAAAAATACTTTTATGTCTATCATAGCTATTGGTCAAAAGTTATATACACACATAAGAACACATATAACATCAATATCATTTTTCTCATTTTTATTTACATTTTTTATACAATATGTTTTAGTCATATTTTTTCCTTCCTGAAACTCATCCCAGGTCCTCCTAATCACATCCCCTCCCCAACCGACAAACAAACAAAAGACAAAAATCAAAATAAACAAAACCCCAACAAGACAAAAATACACAAACAAAACAAAACAACCAAAAATTATGTAGTCAGTTTATGTTTGGTATCTACTCCTGGACATGGTGCCTGCCTGTTCTTGAGTGTAGTTAATATACCTAGTAACACTTAACTGGAGAAAACTGATTTTCCCTATCCCAGTAGGTATCAATAGCATCTTGGTTAGGGATGGGGAGTAAAGTCTGGTTCCTCTTCTTGGTGTTGGAATTTGATTTTGCTTGAACCTGTGTGTGTCTTGTGTGTGCTGTCCCTAAAGTCCTTTTGAAGAATTATGATACTATTTTTCTTTAGTTTCACCAGTGTTTAAAGAACTATTAAGTGCAGAAATTATCACGAGTCCCAAAGGTTCTATCCTTCTCTCTAGGTCTCTTGGGAGAGTGAACTGAAAAGACCCAATCAGGTACACCAACTCAAAGTTATGAATTTCTCAAAAGACTGTGCAGCCTGCAGGTCGAATCTGATTGTCAGAGAGCTTCTGATGCTCAGTCATGTACTCAAGTCTTGTCTTTGTTGACTCTAAGGTAAGCTGCGATGACTTCCAAAGACTCTTGCTTTTGAAAATTAAAAGAAATGTAATGATTGGGGTGTGGTTGTTGATTAGTGCAATGATACATAACTATTCATTTGGGGAATAAAAAGAAAATGTGACCTCCCTACACTGTGAAACAAATTTTAATCTATCTGTAATTTCACAGAGCTTACAAAGTTTGGGCAGTTTTATGTTCCTATAGGAGGAAAGTATTTTTGCCTTAGCTAATAGTTAATTAAGTTCAAGATTGCTTCTAGTGAAATGGTCTTGGCAGGAAAATGGAAGTTTGCCCAAGATTAGAAAACCAGAGTAGAAGGAGTTGGGAGGATTTGTTTGGAGACTTCTACGGAAGTCCTCAGTGCGATCTCTCACTCAGCCAGGTGTCACATGGCATCTGTGTGAACTGGTTCAGACCTGAAAATCAGGCAGTCTTACAGGCAGGCTCTGTATGAAGGGCTCCCTCAATGAAGAACCAACTATCTTTAACTTTTTGTGTTTGTTTTTGTGTTTGTTTTGTCTCTCTCCCTTAAGATACAACCAAAAATAAGATTTTTTTTCTTTCTTGCACCTGAGCATCAGGTTCTTCTGATCTCATGAACCTGTGCAGCTACTTTTCAGCATTAGGGTACATCCACTATGGTGATGGAAATTCATGAACTTTCAAGTAGAAATTTATACTTTTGCCACCACTTTGCTTTTGTGAACTGAGGTACTTTTGAGTCACCCTGCACCTCCATTCCCTTACTTATACAATGATATAATGAGGCTGTTATCTGTAATGTATAGAGCTGAATAAAGGAATCAGCCCGCACTAGAATCCTAGAACCCACAACATAAGAGATTTATCTACTTGGCTGATTAGCATAACCTGAGAAAATAGAATGCCTTGAAGAATGTTGAAGACATTGTTAAATTGTTAAAAGGTAAAACATCTCTTATAATCTGTTGATTATTCTAACAGATAATTTGCATTAATGGCTGTATTCCAGTAACTAATTGGAGGCCTACTCCTCATCTAGCTATTGCAATTTGTCTATGGCACAGAGCAGAACTTAGAATACTTCCCATTTATGACTCCTTTTCTTCTGGGAAATTTTTACATAACCTCAAGTACATAAGGTTATCAAATAAGAATACAAATCAAACACTGGAAAATATATCAGAAAGGAATTTATTTTAAACTGGATCTTTGGTATGCATATAATTTTGCCATTTATTAAAGACAAAAGAAAATTTTTATTAATGATATAAAGTGTTTATTTATTTTCAAATGATCTAAAACTTGGCTGGACATTTCTTACTGTGGGACACAGAGAATCTTCAGCATGTTTTGGAGTTCATGGATATTTTGTTATGATTGATAAGACCGAGAAGGCTCCTGTATATAACTAAATAGAAATGGGTTGTTTATGGTGATCTTAGAATGGTGTGGGAGGTCCTTCTGTCTATGTGTGGCTTTTATTGGTTAATGAATAAAGAAACTGCTTTGGGCCTATAGCAAAGCTAGGTGGAGCAAACTAAACTGAATGCTGGGAGAAAGAAGGGCAGAGTCAGAAAGAAGCCATGTCGCCCCGTCAGAGACAGACACCGAACTTTAGCCAGTAAGCCACAGTCACATGGCGATACACAGATTAATAGAAATGGGTTAAATTAATATGTAAAAGTTAGCCATTAAGAAGCTATGCTAATTGGCCAAGCAGTGATTTAAATAATATAGTTTCTGTGTGATTATTTTGGGGCTAAGTGGCCAGGAATAATCAAGCAGCTGTCTCTTTTTGCAATCTTTTTGAATTGTTTGAATACTGAGGATGGAGCAACAGCTGCTAAAAGATATTTGTTTATAAATGCTGCTGAATTAATCCAAGATAAGTATTTTGAAAGTACCTTGACTTCAAAATTGAAGTCAAAAGGTATGTTACTTTGGAGAAGAGGTTTTGCTTGTTTCCACAAGAAATTAGAGGCTGTGGATTCATTCCAGGTTAAGAAACATCATGTTTGATCAAGGAAGACCCCCTGAGAAATCTCTGATAGGAGCAGAGGGCCCAGATGTCAGAGTTCTACATCCAGAATAGATTTCAAGATTACTGCCTGAGATGATCAAGCTTTACAGAATTTTCCAGTCAAAACTTGATCATAGTTCTAAATTTTCTTTAGGTCCCTATAAGATTATCAATGCCACCCAATCAACAGTAGTAGCCTGGAACACTACACCCACATTTCCAAAAAATGGACTATGGATATTTTCCTTTGTTTAGAATGTTGGTTACAAGTTGTTATGGATAATGGTCAGGAGAAAAGCTAAACAAAAGATATTAGATTCAGAGTTCTTGTTTTTTTAAAAAAAAAAGAAAAAAAAGGAGGGAAGTATTGTGGGACAATGGTCTTTTATCCTATCCCTTGTGTTATTTTTAATAAAACACTAATTGGACAGTAGCCAGGCAAAAAGTATAGGTGGGGTGACCAGGCAGGAAATAGAGGTATGGCAACAAGAATTCTGGGAAGAGGGAAGTTTCAGTCTGCAGTTGTGACCTAGATGCAGAGGACACAAGATGTGACTGACTTGCTGAAAAAGGTACCAAGCCACGTGACTAACACAGACAAGCATTATGGACTAATACAAGTTAATAAGAAGCCTGAGATACTAGGCCAATCAGTTTATAATTAATGTAGACCTCTGTGTGATTTCTTTGGGACTTAACAACTGCGGGAACTGGGCAGGACAGAAACTATTCTCTTAATTCTCATTAACTATTCTCTTAATGAAACTGAAGTTAGTAACATAAATAGTAGTATTTAAATTACTACTCTTTTAGCAGTATTGCATTATACTATTTAGTAGTATTGTATTATAATTTTAGTAGTATTGTATTATAATACAATATAATCCAAAGAGATACTAGTTTCATATATGCTAAATAATGATGGCAGGAAATCATAAAAACTATTTGTTTTTGTAATTAAACCATGTTTTTATCATGTTGGTGAAGCTTATCTCTGAGGTTTTGGTTGTTTATCCTGAATTTTCATGTCCAGCTATACTTTAGTTTGGGTTTTCTTTAGCGATTCTATTTCCTTCTACTTTCATATCTTGTAGTTTTTCCTTATCCATTCTACAAAACATCATTTTGAGTGAGGTAACCCAGACACAGAAAGACAATTATCACATGTACTTACTCGTAAGTGGTTTTTAAACATAAAGCAAAGACAATCAGTCTACAAATCACAATCCTAGAAAACTTAGACAATAATGAGGAGACTAAGAGAGACTTACATAGATCTAATCTACATGGGAAGTAGAAAAAGACAAGATCTCCTGAGTAAACTGGGAGCATGGGGACCTTAACCTTAGGGAAGCATTGACAGGAATGAGGGAGGCAGGAAGGGGAGCAGAGAAAAATGTAGAGCTTATTAAAAATCAATTAAAAAGGGGAAAGGTGGCTTTCTTCATTAATTTTCCTAATCCTCTACTTACCTTTGATGTATATTCTGTTCCAGGACACAGACACTGTTAAAGAAAAAAGAATGTGCTCATCTTGCCAGCCATTATGTCTGGAGCCAACAGCTCCAGCCTGACCCCAGACTTCTTTATCCTGAATGGTATCCCTGGACTGGAAGATGCGCATGTCTGGATCTCTCTGCCATTCTGCTTCATGTACATGATTGCTGTTGTGGGGAACTGTGGGCTTATCTACCTCATTGGCCATGAGGAAATCTTACACCGACCTATGTACTACTTTCTAACCCTGCTGTCCTTCACTGATATAACCTTGTGCACTACCACTGTGCCCAATATGCTGTGCATATTCTGGTTCAACCTCAAAAAGATTGGGTTTGAAGCCTGCCTGGTTCAGATGTTCTTTGTGCACACCTTCACAGCTACAGAGTCTGGTATGTTAATGCTTATGGCCCTGGATCGCTATGTGGCCATCTGCTACCCTTTACGCTATGGAACCATCCTGACTAACCCTGTGATTGCCAAGGCTACATTGCTACATTCTTGAGGAGTGTAGCATTCATCCTCCCTTTCACTTTCCTCACAAAGCGCCTGCCCTATTGCCGAGGCAACCTCATCCCTCATGCCTATTGTGACCACATGTCTGTGGCCAAAATATCCTGTGGCAATGTCAAGGTCAATGCAGTATATGGGCTCTTAGTTGCTCTTGTGGTTTGTGCATTTGACATATGCTGTATCACCGTGTCATACACAATGATATTGAGAGCAGTAATGAACCTGTCCTCTGCAGATGCTCGTCACAAAGCCTTCAGCACCTGCACATCTCACATCTGTGCCATTGTGATCACTTATGTGCCTGCCTTTTTTAATTTCTTCACTCATCGTTTTGGGGGACGCACCATTCCCCACCACATCCACATCATAGTGGCCAACCTCTACCTGCTACTGCCTGCTACCATGAACCCAATTGTTTATGGAGTCAAGACCAAGCAGATTCGAGAAAGTGTAATAAAACTTTTTAGTGGAGACAAGAGTGACATTACTGAAATTAAAGGATTTAAAAACAAGTAAATTTCTTGGAGTATGAAAAATAGTGAATGAATTCATAAAATAGGTAGGTGAATGATATTAATTCATCTAGTGTGTCCATTTCAATAGACAAAGGTACATAGAAAACAGTGCAGAAGAAATTCATAACGAATGTGAATAAGATAGTTTTCAGTCAATCTCATTTGTAAATTTTCTGAAATCTTTGTAATTGTAGGATATGACGTTTTCCCTGAAAGAAAAATATTGCAGAAAGCATAATTCAACAGATAATGTGTTTATGTATTGCAGAGTTTATTTTTTATAATTTCATCATCTCATGTTTGCATTGTTTCTGAAGAAGAGAGTATCATAGAATGGTAGAGTCATACACCCTGTCCACTAGTGAAAATAACTGTCCAGCATCATGAATATTTTTCAACTTACATTTTTGGTACAATGGACATTTCCCATTTGAATTGCTAATTTTATTAAATGTAGCCTATATTTCAAACACACACAAATGTTTATGAGTTATTTTTCCCTGTGGTATCACTCTGGAACCTGTATTTAAAATAGGTCCAAAATATACATTGTTATGTTATAGGTTAATCAGGCAAAAATGTTAATTTATAAGTTCATTCATTTGTTTACTGATTCCTTTTGAGAAACCAACATTGTAACCTTGGGTCTCAGGGCATCAGTGTATATCTTTACCATGCAAATATGAGAAGAAGCTTGTATTTAAATGATACAAAAGAAAAGAAGAGAAAAGAAAGACAAGAAAGTGAGTTGAAAATGAATACAAATGGAGGACCCAAGTGTTACTAGGAAAGGTGAAAGGTTCTGAAAATTTTGGCTTCTGTAGGTTCTAAATTTAAAATCCTCCTCTGCCCTTTAATCTAGAGACTAGAATTTGACCAATTTAATCCTCATGTTTTTCAGTTGTGCAAATAATTCTTATCACAAAGAAGAACCTGGCAACTATGTATTCTGATACCCTCCACAGCACATAGTATGGCTTCTGATGGACCCTAACAAATTCAATAGCTGTGTTATTGTTATGAGAAGCTAGTTTCAATTCTGATTCATTCTGCACCTGATAGTCTAAGGAAAAATTATTCTATGTACCAAAGAGTAGATGATTAGTTTTCTATGGAGAAACTTGTCTTAACTGGTCTCACACATGTTATTGATATTGGTCACCATGTTTTTTGAATATGTTCCATGTGACTGACTCCGTGTTAGACACAGAAAATAAGTGATTTCACACATCATGGTCAATTTCTAATTAGTAGAGCATAGAAAAGGCAAATGAATGACTATGGTAAAGCCAAGACATGCTAACTGTACCTCAGAGATTATTGCAATACTCAAGACTATTATTTATTGATTTCAGAGGTGAATAAAGACTTGATGGGGAAAAATGTATGAAGCAAATCATGGATGTATGCAAATGCTTAAGGAGCAGCAGATGGGAATTAATTGGAAAACTAAACAATATTCTAGCAAAGATAATGATTAAGTAATGAGCATCAGGATTTCACATTCACGTGTAGAAAGGAGGAGGGACAGAAGGTGTGGCCAGAATTGTAGTCAGAGACTGAATAGGAAAGAGCCTTGAATATTGTTTTAGGGTTTTATTGCTGTGAAGAGACATCATGACCACAACAACTCTTAAGAAGGAAAATATTTAATCAGGGCTTGCTGTTTGTAGCAAAATCTCAATTGTTCAATTTGACCAAAAAAGACTTGAGAACGAGATGCCTGGATCAAAGCCTGCTAGCTCAGGGAGACAGGGTAAGAATCCAGCTGATCTTCCTTCTCTGTTGACATCCCTGAAGCCTCCAGGACTCTCTCTCTCTTTTCCCCTGATATCTCAAAACTCCCTCAAACTAAAATGCCCCTCCCTTCTACTTCCTGTGAGTTTCTTTATTCATCCTCCTGTCTCTCTCTAACTTTGTTTTTTATTGTTAATAATCCTATGTTCACTTCCTGTCAACTGGTTTCTTGTTTTGTCTCTTGACCTATGGTTGACTTTATTTAATCCTGTTTACAGTATTTAAGCAGAAATCTCTTGGATTAAAGGTATGTGTTTACATCTTATGATTAAAGGTATGAGCCACACCACGACTAGAAACCAGTTTTTCCAGTAAATAATGCAATTTCAGGTTTCACAGTGTGATCAGATATGAAAGTGACTGGCTTACAGTTCAGAGGTTCAGTCCATTGTCATCATGGCAGGAAGCGTGGCAGCATGCAGGCAGACGTGATGCTGGAGAGTAGCTGAGAGTTCTAAGTTCAGATTGGCAGGCCGCAGGAAAAGAGTAACACTGGGCCTGACTTGAGCTTTTGAAACCCTAAAGAGTGACACACTTCCCCCAACAAGGCCACAACTACTCCAACAAGGTCATACCTTCACTAATGCCACTCCCTCATTATGAGTCTTTGGGGGCTACTTTCATTCAAATCACAACAGGTGTGGTTCTTGGCCAGATGGTCAGTGCTTATGCCATTTGATAACAAACATCTCCGAACAACTGATCCCTAGACAGCTGATGCCCGTTGGTAACCGCCTGCCTTCAGTTCTGACTCCCTCTCTCACTTCCTCCTCAGCTTTCTTTTCTCTTTTCTGCTCAGTTGTTCAGCATTCAAACTCAGGTTCTCCAGACTTGAGGTACTTGTGTGTGAATGGTGTTTTCTTATGTCTTCTTCTGTACTTGTCTTATTTTGAAGTCTTCACCATTCTCATTTTTTTAAAAAAGGATATAACAATTACATCAACTACAATAGCCATTAATCATACACTGTATTAGCCATAGATACTTCATACTCATTAGTTCTGAAAGTAACTATGAAGATGGTGCTCTAAATAATATGTACTTCGTTAGGCAAACTGAGGGACGCACTGAAATGTTGATAAGTGAATGACTATCAGTCAGCAGATTTGAGATTTACAGGAAGCTCTGTGGGTAACTTCTACAGTGCACCACACTGCTTTCCACACTGGAAACCATAGAGTCTGTAGCATCATTCTAGTGAGCACAAAGGAGAGCCAGAATTTCTACCTGCTTGTTTAGCATTTGATTTGTTGTTACAACCATCCTGTGCCAGCCTTCATGCCTTCTGCATCTCCCCTTCTGCTAAGTTCCCACAGTTACCCCCTGGAATCTGGAAACTCCTGTAATTGTTACTCTCTGAGTTTACACTACAGGGATTTAATGGTGCTGTGAAAAATAATGTTTCTTCAAATGAATGCTGCTCTTGTCTTTTGAGCGAAAATGTGATTCTATTTGTGACTAGAAGGCCACGAGCATCTTATCAGATACCATACTGAATACAAACTCACTATTAACACATCCAGAAAATATACACCAGGGTCTGGAGAAATGGCTCAGAAGTTTAGAGCACTGGCCACTGTTGCAGAGGACCAGAGTTCAATTCCATGCACATGGTGGCTCACAACTATCTGCATCTTCAGTTCCAGAGGATCTGTCACCCTCTTCTGACCTCCTGGTGAATTACATGCATACATGTGCTATACAGTTATGTATGCAGGCAAAACATAAAAAAAAATGATTTTTTGAAATTTATTTATTTTTTCATTCAAGAATTTACACTTCCTCCCATTCCCCTCCGGCTCTCCCACTCACCCTCCTAAGAAAAATACATATCAATTGATTTGGGCATTTTAAAAAATTAAGGTTAAATAACTAAGGGATGCTGATGCCAAGATATTTTTATAGCAATGCCTTTTTTCCAACCCTAGTCAACACAGTGAAAATTTTTTTTATAAAGTTAGTCTACAAAGTGATATTGGCATCTGAAACAAGTGTATATACTGATCATACCATGCACATGCAGGACCCACCTGACATATGCCATGGAAAAAGTGTTAAAGAATTAAAAGGCTGCACTTGATTCACTGCAGAGCCATGAACAAGACTGAATATTATGTCCATGCCACACAGGAAAGATTAAATGGACTTAGCTTGTTAAAGAAATAAAAAACAGCAAGTTGAGAGGTAGGTATGTTGGGGAAGGATAACTATGTCATTGCATAAATATATGGAATGCTCAACAATAAATACCTTTAAAAATAACTGAGTAAAAGGAGGGGAATAACTGGGCACTGCACAGAAATTAACAGATTATGGAGAGTCCGATCTCAAAAGATGCACCTACTTCACATAGCCTTCATCTATGGAAGAGGGGGCAGCAAGTTCATAAAAACAGGAATAACAGGAAATCAGTCTTGTCTAAAAATGGCTGCATAAACACGATCAGAACGATGACACTATCAATGGACTTTTGTTAAAAAAGGGAAATTTTCATGGAGTCCTACCCGTAGACCAAGAACTACAGTCAACTATTGACTTCTGGAAGAATTACCCCCTCCCCATTATGAGACCCTTTATTGGTTGTCTAGGGCAAGGTGCTCAACTTTGATACACACCACTAACAAAAATGTACTCAGAAGGTTGTATCTATATATATTAATGTATGTACATGCATACATATGTGTGTGACAATAATAATCAAAGAAATAGAGGTTATCAAATTGAGAATGGGGGGATATAGGAAAAGTTTGAGAGAAGGAACATGGAGGGATTAAACGGAGGAAACAGAAAGAGTTGTGTAAATTTATTTCAATAAAAACGTATTTTAAAATTTCAGCAAAAGAGAAGAAACTACAATGGTAGAAGACACTTAGGCACGATCTCTGCTATGATCTCCAGGAAACACTTGAAAAAGTTGAATAATAGCTGTCAGGAGAGGTAGATGATTGCTAAAATATTAAGCTCCAATAGTAAAATGAAATAGAAAACTTTATAAAGGGAAGGATTGGCACGTTTTGTCTCCTCGCGAAAGGAAGCACAGGAGCCAACTGCTCAAATTAAGACAGAGCCTAGGAAACTCTACACTGTACTTTTCATCACAGAAATTTTAAAGAGTGGAAAAAGAGGTGATTGAGGAGGGGACAAAAGTAGCACAGGACAGCACTGACAGAGGGAGGAACACCGAGAAAACCCTCTCTACTCAGC